AAATGCATTGTGCATCCACAGTCGGGAATTTCTCGTGTATCTGTGCCTAGAGGAGACTAAACTGGGTGCTTTTAAAACAGCAGATATTCTTTAATCCTGGTGCAGACAGGCAGAGCTGAGTTTTAGTACATAATAACTAGGTAAGATGAATGGTAATCCACATGGAAGACTTTCACTAAGTATCCAGCTGTATAAAATGCATCACAATATTGAAACTCCATCCCCTTTGCCTAGTTTCAAGTTCTGCCATAAATCAGCATTCGTTCATTAGTGTTTGCTAAACATTGTGCCTTTTGTCATAAACCTTGGCTCAAGCTTGTATGTTGCCAGTAGATTTATATTGTATAAATCTGATCTGGCTAAGACTTCTGTTGCTCTTTGTTTGAACACACAGATTCCAGCCTTTGTACAGAGGTTTTACCAGAATTAGTCTGAAGACAAGCTCCAAGACAATCTCAGGGCCTGGCAGCCCCCTGGAAACAAGGGTTTAAAAAATAGTTTGCACAAAGTCCCAGGAACAGAAACTGTAATATTTTACCTCTATTTACCATGTTGCTGGGACGGGACTGAAACCAGAATCTTGGAGCCAACTGTCCCAAACCTTGGAGAAGGTCAGATTCATTAAAAATGTGATATATTGCTCCAAACCAAAACCTGACCACTAATAGCTGTTTTTGACAAAACAGTTCTCTTAAAAAATGCTGTTTTGTTGGACTTTTGACATTTTGCAAGAATGTTTCGATTTCAAGGAAAATTTTAAAGGAGAAGGCAAGCAAGCCCATTATTTGAATAATGTCAAAAAGATTTGCTTGGATTTTTTTTTTCCAAAGTATTTACGTTTCATTATTTCATGATCCCTTGCATTAGTATTTTGTAACTTTTATACCGTAACAGAGTTACAGTGACATATTCTGGCATTATCAAAATACTTAGCTTACATAAAATTTTGACCTTACAATTGCTGTAAATAAAGGGAAAGCATATGCACATATCTCAGAAAAATGAGATAAAGATGACCCACAAACAAAAGCCAACGCAGTGATGCACTGGTCTGACTACAGGATCAAAGCTTTGGCATTTTTAGTCTTTTTCAGGAGTGCTTTCCTGTATTAAGGCTGAGAGAATTGGGATGGTTCAGCCTGGAGAAGAGAAGGCTTCAGGGTTACTTAACTGTGACCTCCAGTGCCTACAGGGAGCCTACGAGGCTATTTACAAATGCCTGGAGTGACAGGAAAAGGGGGAATGACTTCAAACTGACAGAGAGCAGGTTTAGATTGGATATTAGGAAAAAATTCTTTCCTGTGAGGGTGATAATGCACTGGCACAGGTTGTCCAGAGAAGCTGTGGCTGCCCCATCCCTGGAAGTGTCCAAGGCCAGGTTGGATGGGGGTCTGAGCAACCTGGGCTAGTGGAAGGTGTCCCTGCCCATGGCAAGGTGTTGGAATAAGATGATCATTAAGATCCCTTCCAACCCAGACCATTCTATGATTCTATGATTATATAGATCCTTTCTAGTCTTCACATATTCTGAGTAATAGAACCATATATTCCATAGAAACTAAATATCAAGATATATCAAGATATATCTGTTACTTTATATGGAAAAAGTGTCTTATTTTGTTTATATTTGGCAAAAAAAGAGTTAATGCCTGATGATGAATCCTTTGTGCTTGGTAGCTCTTGGATTGTGCCATTCTCGCTGCCAGCCCAGGTGGGAAACTTCAGGTGCTGTCTCTAAGAGGAATCATTGAAAAGATGATTTTTTTTTCCTGTGTGGCAGGTTCACCTATATCTCTTTTACTGAAAGGTCTGCAAAAACATCCACGTTCTCACAGAAAACAGGCAACTGCCTTTTTGTTTTCCAGGGAGAAATTTGAGCAGATGGATGAAAAGAATTACTAAATAACACAAAGAGCTGGTCTGAAACTGGCCAGAGGCTCTTTACTAACAGCAAAAGTCCCTTGATACCTCTTTGCAGAGCACATGGAACAGTCCCTCACTGGTTTGCAGGTAAGAGTCGGATATTTCCTTCTTGCAAAATGTTTGTGAATTAAAATTTCAGCATTGATTTATATTTATATATATGCATTTTTCATAGAAAAGTCAAAGTAAAATTATGGGGAAGCAAGGCAGAAGATTCTAAAATTTAATAGACAGAACTTTTCAGTTTTTAAAGGAAATTAACTAAAGCAGCCGTATATTTACTTATTTGTTTCAATCTCTTTATATTTCATTAAATAGAAAGTTTCCCTGCAGCTACTCTTGCTCTTAAAATTTATTCAGAAACAGAGAAAGAAAAGAGAATAACAAGTAATAGAAGGGAAAAAAAAGCTGCTTAGTTCAGGTACAGAGCAGAACATATGAAGGCATTAAGAGCACCAATGTGTCTACTGGCAAACTGTGGCAACAAAAAAAACAAACAAAAGAGAGATATTTTTAAATATACATTGAAAACACATAGATCTGTACACAATAGGATTGGTTACCCATGCTTATTTTTGCAAATACATAGTTAAACATTATGCACAGTGAGCACGGTCCTAGTGCATAGTCACAGCACTAGTCCTTAAGTTTTAAATTTCTTCTCCTGAAAAGGAAGATGTAAACATGCTTGTCACCTACACATACACTTTTGCAAGGCATCAAGTGTAGAAACCCAAAGGAACTGAGACAGCATAATCTTTTAAGTAAAAATACATATACATAAAAATACATACACCATTAAAGCTACCCATTACATCTAATTTTTTGGTCATGTAAGTAAATATATTTATTTAAATGGACTAAAGGCATATTCAGCTTTGTCCAATATAAATACTTTGTATCCATTTAACCTCCTTGTTAAATGCTTCCCCAAGTTTTGCAGAGTCTCCTGGATTTCTATTCTTGAAGACACGGGAAGTGTAGGAGTGAGGAAAGCAATCAGGAATTTTGCATGTGAGTCTTACAGAAGAAAATAGGTCTAAAATTCCTACTAAATGTATTGCCAAAATACAGACATATCTTTCAAAATTCTGAGTTTATCCCATATTAAGTGATGCCTTGGATTACTAGGAAAGTAGGAAGAAACATTTTAGAAAAATACATTGTCAACAGTGCTTGTAGCAATGGTAGAGAAATGTCTAAAAACTTCCCTGTGCAGTCCACTGAATGCAAGCTAACAGGTCTGTTAAAATGCATTTAAGGTTTTAATTTGTGATTTTCACAGAGGTGAAAATGAAAACAAAGCACATCAAACTACCAGAACTAAATAAAACAACACAAGGACCAAGAGCTGGTTTTCAGGACAGAGGCTTAAAGAGTTACCCACTTACCCCCTTTCTTATAATTTAATTCTTGTACTCCCCACAACATACATTTATTTGGAATCCTCCTAATTATAATTCCAATGAATAAAATAATGCCTTGGCCTTGCTATTGGATCAACAGGAGTAATCCTGCTCTGGGCTTTATTACCTTCCAAGGAGCTCTGAAAGGAACACAATTGTTTACGTGTCGGTTCATTTCCAAACTGGGGGCCTTGTTTTGCAAAACATCAGCTGTAATGACTGAAGAATTAAAATGAGTTTGAGGTTTCCCCCACCCCATGTAACTAATCTATACTTTATGTAGAACTAAGGGAATTCCTTGATTCTAATCTTGAAGGATGAAAAGGCAGTGTAAAGTATTTTATATATCCAACGCACAGTTTTTATTGCAGACAACCGTATTTCTACCTGATTTTCTCAACCTCACTATACAGTCCAGTGAGTTTAAATCAATTCATGTATTGTAATAATTTAAGGCCTTTCTGTGTGAAAGGCATACAGACGTGGGAATCAGGGGTCAGACTTGGTCCTATTAAGAAACAAAACACGTGGGAGTTTCAGGTTTCAGACCAGGTGCTTGAAAAATCGCCTCCCTCTATGTCAACTATGTTTTCTTTCTGGCAGGCCTTTTCCAAGCTTAAACATAAGCAGAAAACCCCATATGGACTGCTGAATATTCTTAAACTTATTAGGGGCAGGACTTTGATTACCTGTTGGGTCTGGAGATCACATAATCATAGAATATCCTGAGCTGGAAGGGACCCATAAGGTTCATTGAAGTCCAACTCCTGGCCCTGTACAGACACCCCAGCAATCCCACCATGGGCCTGAGAGTGTTGTCCAACCACTCCTCGAGTTTTGCCAGGCTTGGAGCTGTGACCACAGCCCTGGGGAGCCTGTTCAGTGCCCAACCACCCTCTGGGGGAAGAAGCTTTTCCCAAAATCCAACCTGAGCCTCCCCGCAGCTCCAGCTGTTCCCTCGAGTCCTGTCGCTGGTCACCAGAGAGCAGAGATCAGTGCCTGCCCCTCCACTGTCCCTTGTGAGGAAGCTGGAGATGGCCATAAGTGTCCCCTCAGTCTCCTCCAGGCTGAACAAACCAAGTGACCTCAGCTGCTTCCCCTCAAGGCCCTTCACCATCTTCATAACCCTCCTCTGGACACTCTCTAATAACTTGAATGTAGGTTACAACCTTCCCCAGTCATATTCATCTAGTCCTAGATCTTTGTAAATAAAGTTGTATTGTGCTTGCCATCAAAGCAGAGTAGGGAAAGGGAACAAATTTCTACCTCTGGCTGGCAGACAGAATGAGACAGTTCAGTTTGTTAATAAAGAAGGAAAGTATATTTGCAGCCACCAGGTAATTCGAAAAGTGTTCAGAAACTAAACTGAGCTGTTTCTCCTGTGTTGAGTGTAATAGTGTGCCTGAACAAAGTGAGGTGAAACAATATGCTGTTTACCATTGGTGAAAAATGGTTTGGTCTCAGAAGGACAAGAGACACACTCTTGTCCAAAGAAACACGTTTTCTGAATGACAAAAAGCAACCTGTGCCTTTTGTCTCTCAAAAACTGTCTCCAAATAATTAAGTTAGAGGACAACAATAGTAACTATTAGAATCTTATGTAGCTCATAAAATGGTTGCTTTCTTCCAGCAGCTGTCCAAAGAGCACCATGGGAATTGTTTGGAAAAAAACCATCCCCTGGCTCACATCCCTGTCAGAATTGGCAGCATCCTCACCACTCCAGAGATTGTCTCTTCCAGGGCTGGTCCAGCCTTTGGTGCATCCCTGGAGCACAGTGCACAGTGACTGAGCCCATCCCACCAAGGCAATGGTTGTGCTGGTGGCAGTGGCAGAAGTGCTGTTGGTGCTGGGTTTGGCTGTGGAGTCCGACTCGCTCTGCTCACCCACCTCCTTTTACAAGAACTGCTGGATCCGGCGCTTCCCAGGCCTCCTGATTGACCTGCAGGAATCCCAGAGGAGGGGAGCCCGGGTGCTGAAGGCTTATGCAGAAGTCTCACCCCAACAGTGCAGCAGAACCTGCTGCCTTCTGAAGAACGGTGAGTGTTTATTGTCAAGATCGCGGCACACGTTAAAATTTACATCACACATTTTGGGTGATGTTTATATAAACATTCCTTTGTTTGAAGAAGAAATGGGGGAGAGGATCTGTGTATTTTTTTTTGAGGCAGGAAAGCAGAGACACCTTGTAACTGTTCTCCCATTTTCAGTCCCATAGAAAGGAAATTGATAATCTGAGTTTTTTGGGAGACTACAGTAGAAACATGTGAAAATCTCAGGGTCTGCTCTGAAATTTTAGGTCTGTGTTGCAAAGCCTGTAGACAATGCCAACATTAAAAGAATGACTCTTCAGTATTCATCACCATCTACTCCTGCAGAGAACAACCAGTGACAGTGATTCCAGCAGCACTCTTTTTCATGGAATGTGGCATCAGAAAGAGGAGGGAACACACAATTGTCCTCTGAAATACAAGAATATTCATTTCCTTGGAGAAAGCACTCCCTTATTCTGTGTTCACACCATGTTTGTGGTGCAAACCAAGTATAACATTAAAATGAACAATAAAGTTATAGCAATAAATGATAGGAGTTATTGAGCTGGCAACCCCTTTTCCCTAGCCTTGTAAACTCAGAATAAAAATAAGAAAAATCATTGTTTATTTTAAGCCCTATACTGTACTTTGTATCACACTGCACTGGTATGCTATAGGAGTATATTTTAGGAGAATACATGAAGTGCATGTCTGTGGTGCCTAAATTTTCAAAACTCACAAGACTTGAAGAGGGTTTTGGATATGGAGGATGAAAGCGAGGAACCAGTTACTGAAAAAAGTCAATATAAATTTTGATGAAATTTTGAATTATGAGCAAAAATATGACCTTGACAATCTGACAGTGACATAACTGCCATCAGCATTCCTGGGAAGAATCAAATTCTGCCTTAAATAATGTGAGGAAATAAAAATTTAATACATTTCAGCAATGTTCTTCCTGTTTGGACAACAAACTTTTTCTCACAGAACAAAGGACTGGATACCTTACAGAGATAATTAATGGTAACTTGGAATCTCCTTTTTATATTCTGACATAGTCAAGCAAAAATTTGTTACAATCTTAACTAAAATAGAGACAGTAGAGGGCATTCAACAATACACTTTAAATCAGTTATTATTTAATCAGAGACACGTTTAGAACTCAGATGGCTATTCTGGTCTAGATGTAAAAAAAGAATATAAGTAGTTCTACTTTTTTGACTGTATGCTCAATTAGTTTGCATGATAATGAGAGACCCACAGTATTTGGTTCTCTCTTCCCATAGGATCTGGCCAGAGCTGCCCAGTATTAATGATCCTCTGATGTTAAATAACATAATAACGTGCAAAATGCCATGGTCATTCTTCTGAGAAGCTCAGTTTTGTTCTTTATGGATTGTAGTTTCCTGCAATCTAGCAGTGTTCTACCATGGAGCCATTCACGAGAGTAGGAATTGCCTGCACGTGTCTTGCCCAGCATTGGAAAGCTGCATCCTGAAGGCTGGAATCAATGTCATTTTGTACAACATCACAACAGGTAACTGGGCACTTCATTTCTAAAGGCTGAAAACACAGCAACTAGAGAAAATGTTAACATTATACCAAGTCAGCTGCTGTGCTAGAAGATGTTCTGAAGTAACATGCTTCTGAAGTAAAAATGCTTAAGGGTTTTTTCCTTCTTCACTATGTACCTCCAGCTGAAAATACTTCCCCCCTTTCTCCACTCAGTGAGAAAAAACCTTGAAGATACACCCTGCTCTCAAGATTCATGCTCTGAGTAACTTATCAATACTGTTTGCCCAATATTTGGGCTAAGTACCCTGCCAGGTCTGAGAGACTGAGCGTGGAGGTTGCCACTGCTCCAATGTCCCCAGATCCAAGCAGTAGCAAGGCTGAAAATTTTATTCTCATTAGGCATCTGCACAAAGAGCACACGGGTTACACAGCCAAACACATGAAGCAGACACACAGCCACAGGTAGCACCAAGAGCCTCATCCTGCTTTTTCTAGCTCACAGGATGGAGATGTATTAGTGAAAATATACACACATATAAAATGCAAACCTACCCAGCAGCTGGGCTGAGATGCTCATTCTGCCCAGTCTGGACCCCAGTCTCCCCAGTTTCTGTCACCGGATGTTTGAGCCCCAGGGGTGCAGCTTCCCTCCAGTTGCTGGTGCAGACTATCACACACACACAGAGCTTTCTGGGATTTCCCTACCCCCAGTAACTTAGATCCCACCCTTTCCTCACCTTTGGTTCCTTCCCCCAGCATCCCATAATAAGTCCTGTGCAATCCCAAAATGCACTTCCCTCGCATCCCTCGAGGTGTCCCACAGCCTCCAGTCCAAAAGATGCTGTTGGGTATTATTTGGGCTCCCTGACCTGCCAGTGCAGTCCTTTTGTGGGTGTGCAGACAAGCTCTTGTCACACAAAACTAACATTGTTATGATTTCGTAGGGGTTGATCCAGATCTTCTTGTTTTTGAAAGACTGACATCCAAAGAGCCAAATATTCATGAATACGAAAGGCAGAACAGCACAGAGCCCACCGAGGGGGAAAGATGCCAACACCACAATGCCACGTCAAGTTCTCCTCTGTTCCAAGCTCCAGCCTCTACCACGAGCCATGGCTTAACAGCAAACACTCACACCTCCAGCAGCACAAGCCTCACGGTCCAAAAAAACCAAGTCACTACTTATCCCAGGGCGGAAACTTTTCCAACAGGTGACCATTTTGCTAAGAGGACAAGCACAACTTCAGTAAGCACCAGGCAAGCCACCAGCACTGAGCACTCACCTTGGACACCCAGGCCTGCTGATGGAGTATCCCACATGCCCACTCCTCCTCGCCTGAACGGCAGCAAGCAACACTTGAATGAAACCAAAGGCTACAGTGGCAGGAATTCTACTTCGGAAAATGAGGCACCTGCTTGGGAAGTGTCAGCTTTGGGAGTCTGGTTGATTCCTGTTGTTCTTTGCTCTTCTCTCCTCTGCCTTTGCTGTTGCACCGTTGCTCTCACGACAGGGCGCTGCAGCAGCAGGAGAGGTCAGTACAAGCCCATAAGGAGAAGAACAAAAATGTCAAGGCAGTTCATAAAATACACTACTGCCAAAAGTAATTTGTAAAACGCTGTCACCATCCTTTCTATGGAACAAATGGGCTTTTAAAAATGCATCCTATGTATCACTTTATTTCTTTCACAGAAGCAATGATTTTTTTTATAATATTTCAGTTATAATTTAATTCTTGTCAGATGAAACACAATTCCCCTGCCTCTTTAGCTAAGAAGTACACACTCATAGCTCCCATTGTGTGCTCAGAGGTGTTCAAGCGTGTTTTGGTTCATAATCTGATGCCAACTGATGTCTAACAAACAGTGTAACACTTTCCCTAACTTAAGAGAGCAGGTTCACTGCAGCTGTACCTATTACAACATCTGTGTGTCAGAATATTATTTAATTAGTAAGATTAATGCAGTGTTCAAAGACTAAACTGATGAGGTTGTAAGGCCACATGAATACCTAGTTACAGCTGAGCAGGTTTCAGAAGAAAAGACCTCTCTAAAATTATATTTTAGTCCACATTGATTGGCACTGGAACTTAGAAAACTGGAGTTTAAAAACCCCCTTTTTTGTAGTATTTTATTGACATCATATGCTAATTTGTATGTAACAGAAGAGAGACCGACACAAGATAAGAACATTTTAGAAGGGTAGTGTTATTTAATCAGTTGAAATAACACAAAAGAAAATTCTTCTATTTCAGTTAGAAAACTTAGAATTAGGCATGACTTTTTTTTAAGGGCAGTCCTATGTGTAAAGTGATAAAAACTCTATAGAGTTCTACTCTATATCATGCCCACTGCATGATATACTTTAAATTTGAACAGCCTTTTATCATCAAATTGTACTTTCCTAATTCATAATGTGGCTGAATCTAGTTTAAATATTCAATTAAAATTTCAACTAAGAATGATGAGACCCCAAGGGCTCTTCTGAGTTACAGTTGACAGGGATTCTTTTCTAGCTTTTTGACACCAAAAGGAAAGCAGCTAAGATACTCTATATTATATCAAAGCATGAATGTGGTGATACTATAAATAAAGAATGTAAATCATCATCTTAGGGTAATCTTCATGGACCTGACCCCAAAATGTAAAAGTCTCAGGGGCGACTCCTTTCATTAGGAAACAAAGGCACAGGTGTATCAGAGGAGGAATGTGCTTTATATCCTTTCTCCACACCTCACACTGAGATCATCAACAGGCTCCTTTTTAGACCAGGAGCTGCAGACTGTGTGGCTCAGGATTTTCTTTGTACAGTGCTCTACTTCAAATTCCCTCTCAAATTCTGAAGGAAAAGGTCGTGGCTCAGTAAACCACCCTTCTGTTAATGACATAAGCAGGCTTAACTCCATTTATAAAGTCTTCACCAAGAAATTAGAGCTTTGCAAAGTTCATGTTTTGACCTCTACCACATTCACAGATCACAAATCTGATCAAACACAGTAAATAATCACATGCTCCATGTCAAGTTGTGGTACTTCTCATCTCACTCAGTACTCATGACAAACATGTTTTGTCATACAATTCTCCCCCAACACACTTCAGCCAGCACTGTCACACCAATTTGCAATGAAAGTGCTTTTTAAATTATTTTTCTCCCCATAACTTTTAAAATCATGTAACCAAGGAAAACACACTTTAAAACCAACTTACATCTAAAATGCAAGCTACCTGAGCATCTTCTGTCAGCCTGCAGACTGCAAACTCAATGGTGCTTGGCCTCTGCCAGCTTGTCTAACTCCTCAATCCTCCCATGAATGACCCTCCATAGCAGCTTGATTCAGGAAAAAAAAAAAGAAGAAAATCAACTCCTGAAAAAAAGTGAAAACCTGCTATTCTTACACATTCCTACAAACACAAAGACTAGCAAATATATCTTTTCCCGAGACAGGACACACTCTAATATGCCAGAAACACAAACCTCTGCAAGGAGGCATTAGTTTTGACAGAAATAAGTCAGAGGTAGTATAGTATCTGCTTTCAAAAAGGTGGTTTTTCACCTCCCTTTACTCTCAGAAAAGTACCTTTTATCTGATAATTGATGAGCTGCACTAACTGCATCAAGTTACAGTCATTCCATGTTTTTTTCATCTCCAGATTAGTGACTGTATAGTGCATTTAATGGCACCTTGATGTTTCTTTAATACTTACCCTCAATACAGTGTTCTGTACAGTCATATAATGTAAGGACTTCAATAATATAATGTAGGACTTCAATACTCACCAGAAAAAGAAAATGAGACAAAGTGAAAATTTATGTGCAAATGCTTTTGGGACAGGATGGAATGACTGAAGTAAGATCATGTTCTGGAGAATCTTCTTGGTTTGTGGTCGTATAGAGAAAAAAATAGGCAGGAAAAGGGTTCTATGAAGCACAATAGCAGAACTATTTAATTACAGACTAAGAGAGTCACAAGAAAATAAATACATACATTTTAGGTATGAGGGAAAGCAAGACGATGGTTTGTCCAGACAGCACATCCCTTTTTAGGCAACTGTCCCTTTATTTAGCAATGTCTTTATTTAGCTATGCCTGAAAACAGGGTAAAAGTGTCCACTCTTTGGAATGTTTATATGGGAGGTAAAAGAAAGATTAGTCTCCTCAAGAGCACCAGTGAAACTAAGCATCACCAGTATTCCATTCACACAGGTATGTGCAGAGGGATGCACACCTTAGTCATTAATTTGTATTATAATGTACGTGATATGTTAGTAAGTGAGCATTGCTAAGGATGCAATTATTATTGTCCTGTAGAGGTGTTTTAACCTGGAAGTCTGTTAATCTCTAACTCTTCACAGGTTTTACATTTCAGTGGGAAAATAGAGATGTGTCATTTACTTCATAAAAACACGTGCTATATTATACATCACTGAGACTCCCACTGGAGTTAAGATCCCACTGCTCCAGGTATTCTACATTAATTACAGAGAAATACTGTCACCTTCAAACACAAACAGTTCAGAGGGAGAAGCACAAAACCACAGAGAAACTTCCAAGATGAGAAAGAGCTCAAAACAGCATCCAGGTTGCCTTTGATACAGACAGTCACCTTTTATCCTGCCTGTATTGAAACATTTATAGAATGTACTTAAGGGAGGCCTGAACACTTCAGACAGAGCTGTAGGAGCCTGTGAATTTTAAGTTTTCCATGAATCAGCTGTGATACAACCAAATAAAAAATCAGTTTCCCTTGCTGTGCTCTTCTTTCTACCAGACAGCAGAATTAGTAACATCAAATTGTTATTTTAACTATGACTTCCAGAGTTCTACTTAGGTCCATTCAAAGTCTACGAAGAGCAAAGGAAAATTGAGTTGTCCTCTGCTGCAGAGAGGATTTTATCAGGTATTTTACATGTCCTGAGTAGTAAATGACAATTTTATGGAGACAATCAAGCTTATGAGGTTTTTTAAAACACTTAAGGGCATTACTCTTGACAATCTTGTACAAGACATGCCACTGCAAAAGAGAAGTTGCTACATACACTTGCTCATATGCCAGTCCTTCTGCAAGCACTGACAAAGCTAATTAAGGAAACAAATTTCCCTTGTGTACACACTAGAACAAAACTGCCTTTGGAATAGAGCCAGGCACAACTCCAGGCACCACCCATACCACTCTCTGAGTCAAAGTGCAGTTACTTCCTCAGTAATTTTGGTTTCACGGCTGTTCAAAAAAGATCTGGAATCACACAGATGTACTATTTCAAATGAGAATTTTAAACATCCTTGAACGAAGGAACAACCTAGTAACAGCTGAAATTTCCCCCATATCAAGCTTCTGCTAAAGCTTCACATTAATACAAATCTAATAGGAAGGACCACTAAATAACTAAGTGCAAAACTGGGATTACAGGTCAAGCATTTTCAGTCTTAGCTACAGCTCTGGCAAATTCTCGTAGGAAGTAAAAAGCTGCATTAAACTCGGCCTCCTACCATATGAAAACAATCTTGACCTTCCAAACTGACAAAACAACCCTTCCAAAACTGACAGTGTTTTGGAAGTGGGGATCCATGCACTCTGTGGCTGTATGTAAACACAAACCAGACAATGAGAAACCCTGGCAGCGAGAGAGTCAAGGCACAGAGAACACTGCAGGAATCAATCCCCTTCACTTCTCTATGTCCTTATTCTTACACTGTTCTCTCTCCAGGAGCTGCTGGCAGGGCCACGTGTTTGGTTCTTTCAGAGGTATGCAGAATCCTTAACTCCCTCTGCCCCTGCCAGGAAATGACTTTCTAAGCTGAAATCTTAGTAAGCCAGGAAGGTACAATAAAGGCAAGAGTTACTTATGTCCTAAAAGCTGCTATTTTTAAGTGGGGATTTTTGTTTAGCTTTCGTTTTTTTGCTGAGAAGGCAATAAAAGTTGCCTGTGATTCCAGTGTTTCAAATCAATGCCTTTCAAATACAAATTACCAAATATAAGCTAAACATCCATATAATTTCTCTCTCTGTGCTGCATACCAGTAAGCTGGATGCTAAAACCAATTTTTTTTTCCCTTGAAAAGCCTGGGTAGATTCAAGAGAGAACTCAGCAGGCCTCAGGGCACCAAGACTGAGTCCATTCCTATTTAGCTACATACCTCACTACTCACCAGCTCTCACTTTCAGCAACTCTCATCATTCTTCTTTCCCCATGTGCTTTGGGATCTTCTCAACAACTGCTGGTTCACATTCCCACTACCATCCCATTTTCTACCTCATTTTATTCCACCATTTTAGAGACAGGTATTTTTCCTTAGGGTATTTGTTAGCCCTCATGGTGACAGCTGAGTGAGTACCTCACACTCTCCCAGGAGCTTCAACACCTCTCCAAAAGTTAAAACTACTTAGACACATTATCTTTATTTTACAGACAGGGAGTAAAGACAGAGAAAAATCTGAGTGACATTTGAAAAGCATTCAGAAAGTTTAGAGTTCTTAACTTTCAGACTTTTAATTAATGGAACTGGGAGCTTAAGTTTTGACATTGTTGCTCTAAGTTATATACCTTAAAAAGTTGTGTGAGAAATCAAAGTGTGATTAAGCAGAGGACTGAAACAGGATCTCCCATGCAAAGCAAACACAGAATAAAATGTCCAAGTGACCAATGTGAATCCAAACATACTTTATTCAAGGAACAAGATTCGTGGACAGGACAACTATGTTTACAAAAAAAATTGAGCAGTAAAGAGAAAACTGATTACTGCTGTGATTATCAACATCAAGTTTCACACTTTTGGTTAAGGTTCTGAATAATTATATATCCATATCACTAAGAAATATTAACAGTAGCTTAATATTTCTATAATGATCAGGTGTACCTACAGAGTCTCCTCTCATGCTTGTATATTCAACAGCTTTTTCACAGATTCCTTATACAGAGACATGTTACTTTCTGTTTCACCTTCATTTTTAAGTGCAATTACAGAGTTTCTGTAATTCTTAACCACTTCAGATCCAAGCAGCTCTTCCTTAGAGACATTACTGACATTCTCTGAGGCTTTTATTCGAAGCAGTGTGTCCAAGGCATTTTTCTGAGAGCGACTATTTTCCCAGATATACTCTTCCATGTCTTCCTCAGACTTCTCACTCTCCCACTTCTCAGTTTTCTGAAAGAAAATATACACTGTGTTAAAAAAACTCCTCGAGACTGAAACAAAAAGCTACAATAATTCAAAGAAGGTTCTCTCTCATATCAATTCACTTTACAAAAGACATTCACTGTGGGAGGTATTTCCTCCTCTAAGGTACAACACTTGTAACTCGAGCCTGTATGAGCAGGAGGAGTTTCTTTCCTCCCACTTCCCAAGTTCTTTATGGATCTGGCAGGTATAACTGGGCAAGTCAGAGTGGGAAGAAAAGCTTATGGACTATACACAGTGAATAACAAAAAACCTTGTAAAAATAATAAATTTTAAATAACCCTGAATGCTCAAGATCTGGAGGCAGTTATTATTATTTATTAAGTCCCTAGCATATGATTTTGGTATGTCTACACTGGCTGTTAAGACATGAAGTGAGACAGTCCATACCAAGTAACCTTAATGATGAAAGACAGCAACCCTTCACCATTTGGGAAATATTTTAATTGGGACTCTTAAGGAAAAGCACCACCAAATAACCCATTTTTTCTTCCTGCAAAACAAACTGCTCTTCAAAATAATCTCTATCCACAAGGTGCTAATTTTTCCCTAATTAGCACTGCAAGATTAGACAGGATCACAAGTTGAAGGCTGACAGAAGACACCATCCCAGTGCCTGTAAATACTTGGCTGGTACAGTTGTTCTTTATAAATGTTGTCTTTCAACATTTCTCCAGCAGGCCTTCACAGACTGTTTAAGGAATATTTCAGATGTTATAACCTGCTATTTTTGTATATTTAATTTTTATTGTACTTTGGTAAATATATATATGCTTCAGAGGTAGATTTTTACACATGCTTATTTATTTTTATAATTACTTAGTACTTTACTGATGTAAACAACACATAGTATCCTTATATTATTTCAAGGATCACAATTTAAAGTATTTTGAGTTAATTTCTGGTGGGTTTTTTTTTAAATTGTTATAAAATCATGTCTAAATAAAACTTGCATTTCTCTGGAAATAAGTTCAAAAAACCCTTATAGCAAAGCATTTACATTATATGCACTTTTTCCTTTTTTAAATCCCTTACCAGAAAGGGTTCTTCAGTAAATTTTTAACTATGCTATGCAGAATCAAAAAAAACCTTGCAACTGTAGAGATTTTTTTTCCTTTGTTGTTTGGGTTTGGCTTCAAGTTCTGGGTTTTTTTTTGGGGGGGATGGAGTGTTGGGATTGATTTTTCATTTATTTTAAAGTATTCTGTCCACTAATTGTCAAGGTTGCTAGAGTGAAACCACAATATTTAATAACCTTTCATTAAGACCCAAGACTTTTTTTTCCACTACAACCCTGAGTGCTTGGATCTGTCTATCTGAATTTCAAATACTTCACCAAATGCTGCATCTTGCACCTGGTAAATGGAATTTCTTGTCTTTTAAATCCCTGAGTCCAAATGTTTAGTCAGAAGCAGTGAATACCACCGTTAAAAGGCTCTGACATGAAAACCTGGACGCAAATACAACACAGAAGTAAAAGAATCTCATTCAATTTCTAGAGAGGGAAAAAGGAACAAAAGGAAGTCCTGCAGCCTGTATTGCCAAAACAATTGGGAACAAGTGTGTATAGTAAAGTATTCCTTGTGTGTTTGACAAATACTGACATACAAAGTGGAGACTGGCATAGTTTTTAATTAACAACATCATCCTGGTTTGCATATCCCTTGTTTTTCTGCATCATGACTGTCTGAGACATTTTTTTCCCAAACTAGACAGAATTTTAAAGCAAAAGCCTTTCTCACAGGGATAGGGTTTCTCAGGAGTAAGGGAATATGGGTATCACCTCTGGTCACTCCTAAACTCATGTTTGAAGTTCCAACAAAAGATCACTGTGAGCCTTTTAAACACCTCTAAGGTATAGCAGAGACAACAAGAACTAATTACAGTTATTACATTTATCTCTTTGGGACAATCCTGCTCTGCACATATTAACTCAGAGGATTTTGGAGATGCCTCCTGATAAACAGATTAAGCTTTCCCCACCTCTTTTGGGCAATACAGAGCAAGATTTTAAAGGAGATTTTAAAGAAACTGTGAAGCATTTCTTTCTTGGAATCCTTCCCAGCAGAGTGATTTGTCCAAATGGATTTTAAACTAAAATCTGACTACGTGGTGGGGGGTGAGGGGGAAAGCAGGAAGGGATTTGACAGTAGGGGGAGATTTCCAAATCCATTCCTCAGCCCTGCTACAAGAAGCCAGTATCCATCACTGCACTGTTGGTGGCCATGCCTCAAAATGAAAAGTTATCCTCCAGTCCAGACATACATCACCAACAGGAAACTGAGCAGAAATCAGGTTTTTGCAAACTAACTGAATCGAGTGAAACTTAAAATACCTTTTCAACACAATTTATTGCAAGAGGAAAGTGAACCTAGATTTATATATGCGACTGAAATGTACCCCAGATAGACAAGGTATATACCCTGGGTATCCATGAACTCTGAATAGTGGGAATGTTATAAGGGTTGCAGTCTTGGTTTAAAGTGTTATGAATGAAACTTCAAAATTAGGTCTTCATCACCCCAAATGTTGTTAGTTGATTATTTTTGTCCCCTGCAAATTTAAAATGTTAGTGAACACTGCAGTAAGAGTCTTAAAAACGAGAATAAAACCGTAAAAACTGGAATACAAGTGTAACATTTTTCTGGAATCCCCACTTAGTGAACAAGGTTAAAAATCAAGAATATATGTTTCTTCAATGAATTCACTAAATATGATTGCCTCATTGTGTCACACAGAAGACAGAATGTCAGTATGACCCAGTCTGGCTGAAGATGCACTCAGCTGATAATTTCAACCTTTGCCTCTTACCAAAACTTACAATAAGAACAAAACCAAAACCAAATTTAAAAAATCACCAGAAAACAACTTTTTTATATAAAGTCAAAGATCTAAACCTGTTGATAAAGAGGTACAGAAGAGCCATTTTTTTTTAATACTTCCTTATGCAAATATAGAGAATTATTTTTTAATGCCATAAACAGAATAAGGATTTGTTTCTAAGCAAATCTTTTATAGTACAGTACAAGCCAGTATTTTGGGAGGTTTACAAGCCTTTACTGTGCTTAATCTGAAATGCTGAATGAGTATGAATGCTCAAACAATACTTCAGACAGTGAAATTGCTTTTTACATCTAAGTCATTAACAAAAAGCTTCAATTTATATTGTACCTTTAAGTACAGAAAAAAAGGGAGCATTTTGCATCACTTAAGCAGGCATCTCACCATCCATTTGCTTGGGTTTTTTCTGCCAGTTTAACTTCCACAATTTTGCTGCCACAGTGATGCAGAGGCTTAAAATTGTCAGCTCTTTGGTGCTTCTTTTGGGAAAAACATTTTTAATAAAATTTTTAAGTTGCACATAAAAATCTTGGGGGCAATTAAAAATATGACTCACATTAGCTACTTTTATTGTCAATGGTTTAAATAGTTAAAATTTAATGCTGTTTAGCAAAGACCAAGTACTTTAGTGGGATGATTTTTTTTTTTTGAGGGGAAGGAAAGTTCATTAAATTCCAAGTCAAATTTCAAACTCTGTATGGCCTGGAATAAATGCACCTATTTCTTAGTACTGCATTGAAATAAAAGATACTCTGTGTGGTACCATAATCTTAGATTTTCAGGTTAAAAATGACAGCTATGCTAACATTTTCCAAATGATTGGGTACCTTCAATCCCAAGAGGAACTGCCAGAACAATTACAGACTCTCTGGGTATAATACACCTTTCATTTGTACTACTTAGTTAGCAACTTACAAAGAAATGCCAACAGAAATTTGTAGAGAGGCAAAACATATTTTTATCACGTGAGATTGCATAGAAAAATCTGAATTTCTTGGTGATGTGGAGTAAGTTAAAATACATTCCTCTGAATAAGCAGAACATTATTTTCTAGGACAGAGCAACGGCACAGGACAGGTGGGACCTCTAGAGGGTCAAGGCAAATCAGGACAAACTGGGAGGACTGAATATTTCAGTAAGGTACAAATGTATCAAGCAAAAGGAGAAAAAGCAGAGAAGCAAGACCAGAACTTTGCCTCAAAAAATAGCACTCCATGCAAGAGATGCTCTCGTGTTTCAGGATACTCTCAAGCTTAATCTCTGCTTCTGTCACCAGCTCCAGAGTCCTCAGTGGTTGCCTGAATTGCCTCTTCCAAAACAACACTTCAGTTCTCTGGGCTGGAGTGGCTGCAGCATTTTCTGGAAAATCCAGGCTTCTCTTAAGGGTCATTTGTAAGGTATTTATCTAACTCTGTTTTCTGAATGCTGATCAGGTAAGATTCTGATCTCATCAAGAAAGATCAGTGATATTAAGAGTTCAACTCTTTGGTGATTTTCTGTTCATTTTTTAAATGTCTACGCCCCACAAGACTTCATTTCACTCCAACATATAGACTGAAAATTAAACAGCTGCAAAAATTATACTTATGTATCAAAAAGAAGCCTTGTTTCTCCAGCTAAAAATAAGGAGCTTAAACTCACTTAAACTTACTTAAGCAAAAAGCTTACTACGGTCTGAAAAAGTACAAAGACAATTTTTAATTCAACCTTTTGCTGGAATGCTCATCCTTTGTGGTACAAGAGGTACAAAAAAAGTGTAACCTTCTTCCACTACAATACACATTTCCCAGCAGAGAAACCTTCCTTTTATTCTAAATGTTTGAATTCAGATAGTCAGAGACAACTTATTAAATTTAACATCTAATTATGCCCCTTTACCTTTACCTTTTCTGGTTCACAAGTTGTTAGATTTTGAGCACTGGTGAGCACATGCTTCAAAACCAAGTTTATATTACAACATTTAGAGTCCACTCTTCCTTTAGCCTCAGTTTGCATTACTTAAACCACTGCATTACAAACATATTATAATAACACACTGAGAAAGGCCTGTTCTAGGAAGGAATTACACTTACACTTCTAAGTGTAAGTGTAATTACATTACACTTCTAAGATCTCCTACTATGAAACTGCAAAATTCTACTGCTGCTAAGTGTTACTGGCACGACCCAAAGTGCTAAGAATTGTGGTTATTTTTAATGGCCTAAAATAACTGTAGTTGAAAAAAATGAAGTCTAAAGAAAAGCTATACGATGGATTTCAAGATTATCACCAATAGTAAGCTAAAATATTCATTTAGCATGCAGACAGACTTGCCACCCCACCAGTGCGGTGCCTTGCCACTCCACTCAATGCTTTGTTTAAAAAGGAATGCAAAGGTAGTGTGGGCCTTGAATAATTTATCAGATTTCCATAACCACACTACTCGAGAAACCAAGAAATTCCAAAGTTTGTGCAGCATTAACTATCTACCAAATATCTACTGCTAATATGTCAGATCAGACCTTGTACTTTAAGAAGTACTGAAGAACAGAAAATCCATGGGCAACTATTTATTACTCTTTCAAGATCCCAGATCTATAATGCAGAATTGAGATGCTCCACCCTCCATCCTCTTGCATTTGTGTAGATTGAAACATCATGTGGAATTGGAGCAAAAACCCTGAATCACTCTGAATGTTCTTCCTTACTGGACAATTGATTTCCTGCTCCATTTGCTTCTCCTTCCTGCTTTCAACTCATAACAGAACTGGACTTTTGGGGGATAAACTATTAATCCAAGCTGAGAGTGAAGAAATCAGTCCATGATCCTTTTAACCACTCGAGGGCAGCAAACTCTTACTCTCTAAAAATCACTTGATACCACGAAAATACATCCAGGTTTCAAGTGATGTTACAGCCCTCCAGAAATACCATCGTTTAAAGGCAGCAGAAATACAACTGGTTAAGCTGCTGTTTAATACTCTACCTAATATATCTCACCCTTGATTAATTCAATCCAGGCACCATCCTCGGGGATAATTTGAAAAGAATCACAAAAGAAGTCCAAAGAAGATAAGTTCAGTTCTTACCACTCAGTGCAAGTCTAATTAATATATTCTGAAATCCAATAAACACAAATATTTCATTATTAACCTGAAAACTATTAAATAGGAAGCAAGAGATCTCCAAGTATTTTAGAGTAAGAAAATAAATGAACGTTCTTAAGTTTTAAAATCTGATTGTTTTAAAGATAACTGAACTCATAGGTCTGATATCTACTTCCACTTGTAACTGTAATAGAAGTGCATCACTGGCAACTGAAATATAATTACACTTGAAATTACATTTCCTGATGTATATCTGCATATAATTCTGCCTTTTATACATGCTTGCCAATTCACAAAATACAGAAATACAGTTATTAACATAAATTCTGTCATGTATAGAGGGAGATATTAGGCAAAGTTTTCAGGATTGAGGGTAAAAATTACATACATCCAGCTTTCCTTCACTGCCCTCATATTTTTATTCAATTACATCAGAGCTGCTTTAACACACAGTGTGAGACTACTCTGCTGTGGAAGTCATCAAATCTTACAATTAGCTCTGCAAACAGGACTGATGTTACTGTCTAACTGGCAGGCCAGTCCCCATCCATCGCCCTCCCACAATAAAGTTGGTACAAATTAAAATAAACCACACATTGTTTGCTTATGGTTTACAAAACTCCCTTTCAGCAAGTCACTAAAAGGCATTACCACTGATCATGGAGGGAAAAAAACCACGCCACAAAGCAAAACGTGTCACACAAAATAAAAAACCGTGTCTCGGGAAACCATTAATTTTTCATGGAAATCAAAGACAATTACAACTGATTGACAAACTCATCAAACATTAACAGGGAGGTTGGAAGGTAATAAAGGGGCAGGAGACTTGTGCATATTCAACACACACGTAGCAGTATCATATAGCCCTGTCTGCCATCACTAATTAATGCCAGAGCACAGCACAGACGTGCTGTTCGTGCTGAAATTAATAAAGTGAGCAGTGTCTAACCCTCTTGTCATTGCAATCCTGATCTGTCATTAATTTAACATTTGTAATGCAATGTAATGCTCTTGGGGAGAGGAACATCCATGAGCACAAAACTCTTGAAATCTGGAGTAAATGTTACCTTTCACAATTAATTTAATTTGACGTACTCTACAATTACAAAATGTATCCTTCAGGGCAGCTCTCACTGAAAGGGAAATACAGCTCATCCTCCTAAGTGTGTTTGTAACATCACCACTGCAACGACCAAAATTGAGAACACCTAAATTCATAAAAATGCTGAATATGGAAAATTAATTTAAGTACTATAGAACTGAAAACAGTAAGAGTGAGTTTTAGTAGCAAATCAGGTACAACTTATATAAATAAGAGCACATCTATGGAAATAGGGTGATGATGAAAGCTTTCACTGCCTGTCTCAAACAATGTGACTAGTAACAGTACACTCAACTTTAAGTTATTCAAAACATTGCTACGGATTTTCAACATTAATTTTATTTCAGACTACTAACTTGTTTTCTGCAAAAAATGCCTGTAAAATGGTTGAAGGCAATATTTATAACCTACACAACTAGCCACAAAAATACAAGAGACAGGTCTGAAGAGTTCACTGTGAAAGGAAGATCTGTAGTCTAAAGATATCTTATTATACTTAGAGGTCTATTTAAAATTTGTAGTAAATTAATAATAAATTGGAATAGTACCTTTCATGCATTTGCATTGGATACCTGACATGTAAAACCACTTAACAAAACAAGCTACAGGGGAAAAATTCCCAATACGCCGTATCATGAATGATTATGAAAAACTTTACATTACACTTGCTTTATCTAAAGAGTTACGAAATTTTTTTTATATTTTTCAGGACACTAACACTGACACAATGAAATGCTAAAACTAACAGGAGGTGCAGAGGAGGCCCCTTTTTTGATCAGGAGGGAGCTCAGAAAAGCAGTCAGCTTTTGGAAACAGAACATTTCCAAATTACAGCCATTGTTTACTTTTAGCCCAGGAAGAGCCCAAGAAAAGACATATTCTAAGCAACAGGTCCAAGTCTGGAATCAGGCAAAATGTAGATATTGTGTTCTCAGTTTTCACAGCTTTTAAGTGATAACACACCCCTCTGTTTTTTTGGAACAGACTTGGTTTTGTCTTTAAACACAGTCCCTGTTAAAAGTGCATAGGTGACGGGAGATAATCACAGAGCACACCCTTTCTCTGGGTGCACTAAATTCATATTTGAATATTGTGCACAGGCAGCCCAGTGTGATGCCACATCAGAGGTTTAGGAATCCTGACAATTAAGGTGTTTTCTGGTAGGCTCAGGGTCAGTTTTAGGCTCCTTGCTGAGAGGAGCAAAGCACTGGCAAAGAATCTCTTATTAAAGTCTTAAAAGAGACAAACCGTTTAGAAACAACAAAACAGCACTTGTGAAGTTAGAGAAATGCACTCTTAAGTTGACTCTGGAATTAAGATCAAACATAGGCAACTTATCTTGGTTGAATTTGAAGACAAGTGAGGTGGAAGAGGGAAAGAATCTCAAGATAATTGACTTTAAGTTATGACAGAGAGTACATGCACATTAGGCAGCACGAGCTACTTCAAACTGCTTACCCAAGATTCGTGGTACAGAACTGTGAGCAGGTGCATGCCATAATCATAGTTCTGTCTTCTTAGGGGACACCTGAAAATTCAGGAACAAAGCTCGTTTTTTGGAACAAGATGTTAAAAATCACCATCTAAGTTTCTAATTTGTAATGCAGGGAATCTTAGGGAAATGTGTGTTTAAATCACACGCATTTCTGAATTACACCCAACCAAGAATAACACCTTGGTGGTGTGACTATTAAGAACACGGGCGAAAGGGCAACTGCAACTCAGTAGGAAAATCTACAAAATCCAAGAATTTACAAATCTTCAGGAAACATTAAAAACTTCTTTGCCCTCTGTGCCAAATTGGAATCCAACACACGTAAGTCTGAACTCCTTTAAAACCTGATTTTAACAGTTAATGACAGGAGCAGTGTTAAGTTTAAGTGCTATTTTAGCCTTAAAAATGTAAGAATTCACCAAGACAGTAGCTGGTATTACTGGAAGACACCCAGCCCTTTCTATACAGTGACCATTGGTACAAGCATTTTTGTTTCCTTCTAGTAACTGTACCTGTCTGTGACAATTGTGAGCACATCTGTCTCCTTGCAGTACCGCTCTCCTACAAGTTTAACAAGCTTCTTCTTTGCATGGTCATCCAAATTCAGGTTAGAAAGTTTAACCTTCAAGTACAAGAGAAAACAATTTTAACTCCTTGGATAAATCCAATCTCCCCACTTTGGAAATACTTGAGACAGTATGGCACACCTTCTATTAAGAATTACAAGGACAGCTATTCAGGATGTGTTTGCAGAATTTCTTCTGATTGTATCACATCAGAAGTCTCAACACAAGGCAAGAATAATGTGAGTATTCAAACAACATATACATGCATAATAAACACCCACATAATGCCTAAATCTCCTGAGCTCCCTTCCAACCTTAAATGTGTCATGATCCTATGCTGAGAAGGCTGCTGTGCCTATTGCATACACACTGATGCCTGGAGGCCTGCCAACTCAACACTTATAGTGCCACATTCGTATGACCCATCTTTCAATACCTGTGCAGTTCCAGGGTCAAAAAATTAGCAATGAGAAGATCTAAGCAAGACATGGAGAACCTTTTCTACAAGGACATTCTTCAGAAGGTACACTATTTTGCTCATATCACAGCCAACTTAAATACATACCCATAACCTGATGACCTCAGTTCTAACATTCTGCAGAATACTTCAGGAAATCCACTGCTTTTTATTTATTCTGACTTTGAGGAAACCATTTCCCTCATTTCCTTAGAGCAGATCATACTTGCACGTTTTGAGAAGAAAAACAAGTATTTAGGCTTTTGAGACAAAGGCAGTTTACCAAAATTACTACTCACTCTTAAAGTCACCACTCTTGCTTTGGGATTCCGAATAGACGTCCCTGAAGAAACATAATCTACAGTTTCAATTTCAATGGGAAAATGCTGTTCACATTTCTCATCACTGTCCAGAGCACTTGGCCATTCAGTGCAGAAATCTGTATAATAAAGAGAAAACACTACAAATAATACCTGCTGGTGTATTTGGTTGTTGCTTGGTTGGGTTTTTTTTCCAAATTTATTGTAATCTATCTTTTTACTGGGTTTAATCCTTTTTGTATACTGGGTTCCCCAAAACCCAGGATACAGTACTCCAGATGCCAAACCAATCACAGAATGGTTTGGGTTGGAATTGACCCTCAAAGATTAAAGAGTCCAACCCCCTGCCACGGGCAAGGACATCCTGCACTAGATTTGGCTGCTCAAAGCTGGTCCAACCTGACCTTGAACACCTTCAACGATGGGGCACCCACAGCTTCTCTGGACAAGCCCTTTCAGTGTCTCACCACCCTCATCATATAAAATGCTTCCTTAGTCTAACCTCCTCATTAGGTTCTCTTGCTGGCTGGCAGAGATTCTCTTGGTCTTCAGCAGATCCTGTATCTCCCCAGCAGACCTTGCTCTCACAGAGGGTTTCAAGTATTAATAGCTTTTTGGTCATTAAATGCAATCCAGAATGGCCACTGACTGAACTCTGGTTCAATCACAGACAGTCTTCTGAGAATTCTGTCACATTCATCACTCACCTTCCTCAAGGCACTAAACTATCAACTCGTCAGTACAGGCAGGGCCTCATTGAAAAGTAAAATTTCAGTCTTACTGGGGTGCTCTCCTAAGACACATCTGCCAACCACCTGGGTAACTCCAGGCAGCAGCAATAGAGCAGACAGTACTAGCCACAGCCTGACAAATAACCAGCTTCACAAGTGTACCATGTCTCACTTTCTACTTGATCACACACATTTACATTCTCACCTTTAAGAGCTGCACAGTGCTTCTTAATTGCAGGAGGAGTAAGATGCAAAAAATTGGGAATCTGAAACAGACACATTAAGAGTTAGCACAATAATGGCTTTTTGTCTGTTCCTAAGTAAATGGACATGACTGAAATCCGATTACACTTCTCACATTTGTTAAGGTAACACAACACGCTGAATAAGATATTCAGATAAGTACTCCAGTCTGATTTAGGAACAGACTTCAGTTAGCCCTAGTACAAAAATCACAGGCATGATCACCCTAAAAAAAGTCTCCAGATTTCATTCGTTACTTAACTTTGTTGCCATTTCATTTAGAAACTAAAGAGGATCATCCTATTTAATAAGAGAAAACAGTCTCCAATGCAAACACCCCAATCAAAGCAGTGCAGCTTTAGTGAATACTGACATTAAAATTACCACCCACCCACGTCATGTGTCTTACCTTAATAAGTTCTAAGTTGCCTTCTTTTGGGGGAGGCACTCCTCTCTTCACTGGGTAACCCATTCGGATTGGGAGAGGCACAGAGGCAGGTTTAAAGGCAGCTGCTGTTGGATAAACACTGCTCCAGTCCTGATCCACAGCCATCCTCTCTGCTCTGGGAGGTGCAGCCTAATCAGTGGAAAAGGATACGAGCTGGATGTGAGATACACTGTTTGTAAGACAAAGCAGGATCAACACACAAAACATAAATCAGCAGGGGGAGGAAGGGGAATCAAATCAGTATGGAACTGCAAACTCTGTTTCCTAAAGGGCCTGAACGTGTAGTTGGGGGCAAAACAATGAGTTTTAAAACACTGGAATTCTAAAAGTGTGAACCAGTTGATAATAAAAGAAACAGATTATAATTGACGTTTCTTGCTATAGAAATTCCAGTACAGGAACAATGTATTAGTATATTGAAGAAATAGCTTATATCCTCCAATAACTGACCACAGTTTCAGTCAAATGCTCCTAAAAAAAACTAACAAACAAACAAGTCACTGTTTTTTTCCCCAAAAACTTTAATTTTTAATTTAGAGGGCTAGAAAGGAAATGGATATATGCAGTCAACTGGTCTAACTGCTTTGGTGTATCATAAAATCCACTTAGAAGTTAAACAAAAATTTAATGTATCCCAGGTCTACTTCACTATTTGCTTTTAAA